CGGTTCGTTCTTGATGGATTCGTGCAGAGTAGATCTCATGGTGATGACTTCGTTGAATATGAAACGTAGCACGTTGTCTAGTCTCTCGCAAGTTCATAGCTGTTTGACGTACGGGTTCGAACTTACGTGGTTCAGTGTGCTATGTGGCGACGACTGTCTTAATTGTTGGTTTAATGGCGATCGTGCTACGTGTTCTGAGGAAAATTGGATTTGTATGATTATTCGTTAATTTTCACTCATCAACTACGTAATTGTTATAAGTAATATAAATTAATTGTTTCAATTTTAAATTCTTGTTCTTCTTACTGAATTCTTGAAAAATGCAGTTCGACTCAGAGTGCCAATTCAGATCTTCAGTATTTTTCTCAGTAAGATTTCTTTAACTCCCTTGTGTTTTTCATTTAATCAAAGTCTTGAATTCATAATTATTGTTGGCGCTTTAAATGTTGCGTTTGAGAAGGTGGGGGATTTTTAACGAATAAAAATACGAGGGTGTTTTTGTAAGAAACCAATCGGGAGGGACTTTATTGGGGAAAAAATATAAATTGCCCGTACCTCGGATAATAATAGATTTCAGGGACTACATCTTACGAGACAAGTGTTTGTGACAAGCCTACTACATTGAGCACTTCCTTAGTATTGTTAACCTTCATTAACTGTACATTTTTCGATTTTTCATTTTTATTTCATGGAGCTGTGAGGCATGCATTAGCATCTGATCAAGATCCGTGGTTTTAAGTTTTGTTTTTCGTGTATTATGTTACTATCCAGCTGGCACTAATATATTCAAGGTTTGGTGCTATCAGCTTATCTATTTCTACCCAATCTAGCACTGAAGATCGTAGTTGGAATGCCATGCGTGTTTGTGCTTCTGATCTATACATTTCGGAGACGGCATTTGTCGGTTTTCGATGCAATAGAATGCTTTCTCCGAAGCAACAACAACCTCAAAACAATTCGCTATTCCTATTCGGACATGAAGAAAATCACTAAAGGCTTTCGGGAAAAACTTGGCCAAGGAGGCTACGGTTCTGTTTACAAAGGAAAACTTCGAAGCGGCCATGATGTAGCGGTCAAAGTACTTGCCAAGCCTAGCTCAAATGGGCAAGATTTCATCAATGAAGTTGCCACAATTGGAAGGATCCATCATGTAAATGTGGTCAAACTTGTCGTGTATTGTGCAGAAAGATCCAAACGCGCCCTTGTCTACGACTTTATGCCTAATGGTTCGCTCGAGAAGTACATATTTAATAAGGAAAAAAGTCATTCACTTAATTTGAAGAGGAAGTACGAGATTGCAATTGGAGTGGCTCGTGGAATTGAGTATTTGCACAGAGGATGCGACATACAAATCCTGCATTTCGACATAAAGCCTCACAACATACTTCTTGACGAAAATTTCACACCTAAAATATCCGATTTTGGTCTGGCAAAGTTTTACTCAACAGATAATACTACAGTGACTCTCACTGCAGTTAGGGGAACAATAGGCTATGTGGCTCCTGAGCTAATGAATAGAAGCATCGGGGGAGTGTCGTACAAGGCCGATGTTTATAGCTTTGGGATGTTGTTGATGGAAATGTTGGGGCTTAACAAAGGGACGGGGCCTAATATTGAAAACAAATCGAGCCAATATTTTCCGTGTTGGATTTATGACCACTTGAATAAAGGCGAAGACATTGAAATTGGAAATGTGTATGAAAATAATGACGATGAGGAAAAGGAAGACGATGATGATGCGCGAAAAATGAGGAGAAAGATGACGATAGTTGGATTGTGGTGCATACAGATGAGTCCAACCGATCGCCCGTCAATGAGTGAAGTTTTGAAAATGTTAGAAGGTGAAGATGAAAATATGATGATTCCTCCTCAACCTTCACAATCATCTGAGATTCCAAGCTATGATGATCAGACTTGGGGAACTGAATCCGAATCAACCGGTTCTGTAGCCTTCCTGCGTAATGATTCTTTAAGTTTTCAATAAGAGTCATAAATTAAAATATGACATTAGTATGATTGTGGTATTTGCTAATATTATCTTTGTTTTTTTTTTTTTTTTGAGGAAACTAATATTATCTTTGTTGATAGTCCTTTATTTTTGTATAACTCAAATTTTATTTTCTCCAATTTTTTTTTTCTTTAAAATTAATTATATTATATATATAGTAGTTTTTTTTTTTTTTTGAGTAAATATATATATAGTGGTATCGGGGCGCTCAGTAGCGGGGGGGAGGGGGATGCAACTCTTTTTTTTTTTTTTTTTTTTTTTTTTTTTTTTTTTTCTT